ATCGTCAGTGAGTTTTACCATTCGTAGCACCATATTACAACGCGTCAGAGACAAGCCGATCCTTTGACCAAACGTGTGCTTAACAGTTATGGTATCTTCCCTTCTGCCTTGAAGGTGGGTAAGAAGGCCAGCGTGGAGTGCGGAGGGTTCTCATGAGAGCCGCTAAAAAAAGGGCACACCGTAACGGCGAAACGTCTGGGAATTTACCACGTCCACGGTCCGACTTTGGAAATGATTATGCATACAATGGACTCAGGACAAGGTGCGTTCCTCTAAATCTTTCTATCAATATGACCAAGTTGCAAAAAAAAGTCAAACAACTTCTATATTAACTGAATTCTATGAGAGCTTTGCGCTTCAACTGATTTTTAGATTATCCTGCTAGTCAGGGCTTGTAAAAGTTATAAAGCTTTGGCATGAGTTATAAAGATAAAGAAAAAAAGGGTGCATATTTTATGGACAGGTAAGCAGTAAAGTAAAAGAGTTTATGGTTGTTACGAGTGCTACAGAGAGAAGCAACAGATTATAAGATCGAAATAAGTAAACAAAATTAGAGGCAAACCTACTACTAGAATATCATTTTGATGCACACTTGTGCCATATAGATAAACAAAATTTTGAAAAAATCAGATAAGAAAATGAAAATATAAGATGATTTATTATTAGAGGTAAGGCATTCTGGCTGACAAATATGGATTATTTATACACTTGATTATTTTTAGTTTTTAGGTAGGGTTTCGAGACCACTGGTAAATTAGTTATATGAGATGGATTCAACCTATCTCGCTTAAGGTGATTAAGGACTCATAATTTAATTTTCCCATATATAAGAAAATTAGCATTTTATTTTGATTTATTAATTTTTAGTGTATATGAGGTAGAGTACAGCCGGATAGTTTACTTGACATAATGTTAGTGTGAGACTCTTAAAAGAATAAGTCCTTGCGAAAGCTCAGCCATCTTCACCCGAAGCGAGGGAGGATATATTGTGGATTGCATCAACCTGAACGTCGTATTAAATCAAACGGATGCAGTACAACGGGATTCAGCCGTCATCTTTTCCTCTTCATACACTTTAATTTGAAATAGAGGTCTCCCTAACAACATTATCTCAGGAGATTCATCTAAACCAAGGTATTCACCGTATCAAACTATCTTTGGTCATTTAAGGTGATGGAAGGCCTGACAGCTGAGTTGTGCAAAATAAATCAAGTAGATCTCATGATGTTATTTAATTTTACTGAGTTTTGCCTCCCAAAAGACCTCAGTCATACTGAAACTCAACTTACACCACAACAATTTCTAGCCAGCATCGTTAACGGGATATAAAAGCGGATGTTGAGTGTCTAGCATCAACATTACCATATAGTCACTATGACAGAATGCCAATTATTCACAGAGTAGAACTAACTTTCGGGCCAAACTATGCTATTTCCTATGATAATTATAGTAAAGTGAATGCCAATAGAGCAAACTTGTATAGAAGCTGCTTTCGAAACTTGGTCATATTGGTAGGAAGACCTAGAGAAACGCGCCTAGGGCTGAGTCCATAGTATGCAAGATAAATTCCAGAGTCGGACCATGGACGAGCACAACACTACAACTCGTCTTGTCTCTTTGATGAGTTGTAGTGTGGTGCTAAGAATGACAATATTCACCGACGATGCCGACTACGATGCTGGCGAAACGTCTGAGAATGTCAACGGTCTGACTCTGGAAATTATCATGCATACTATCGATATCGGACAAGGTGCGTTAATCTAGGTCTTCCTACCAATATGGCCAAGTTGCGAAAACAAGGTCAAACAACTTCTATACAACAAAAGGAGACTGTGACCATACAAAAGGCCACACCATCTTCGTCTTCATACCTTCGCAAGCAAACTTGCCGTTGACCCATGCGACCCGAAAGACGTGCTGACAAAACATAGGCAAGGCTGAAATTGCGACCTAGCCGTAATAAGAAAGCCTTTGGGGAAGCAAGATTAAGTA